TGGAGCTGGGAGGACACCCAAGGCAGCTGAGGGATTCAGGAAAGCCAGGAAGCCTGCAACCCAAAGGGGCACAGACTCTGGAGGGCTGTGGTGCCCACACTCCCTGCCAGACAAGCTGCTAAGGGTCTGGAAAGCTTGAGGCCATCGAGGCCATGGTAAGCTTTTTGCCTGGGAGCAGGGCCTCCTGGCATGCCTGCCACGTGCCCCCAGGCTCTGGAGCTGCCTGCACCATCCGGCCAGGCACCAGGCAGAAGTCACATCCCGCCTGGCAGGCGGAGCAGGCTAGAGGCACACCTTCTAGCTTTGCATCAGAATTTAGCCAGGATCCTCTTGTTCTTCAGAGGTCCGAACTTTCTAACAGAAATCCCATTAGAACATCTGCTCACAAGTCTCTAGCTCTGAAGGAAAAAGAAAACCCTCTATTAAAACACACAGAGTTGTCAAATGGTTGCTGTCTGGCAGGAGTTGCTCTCAAGTTTCAGATAGCACTCAGTTCTTGGGCTAAGTACGTCACCCAGAAATGAACACAAATTAGTAACCAAGTACTGGCAGTATTAAACTAAAAACTCAAACAAAACTGTGGCCCAAATGTTAGAGACATCATAAAGCAGCGCTGTTGCTTCTTGCTGCTTTGAGATCTTAGTTTTACATTATTGGCAACCTGAAGTGTTCCAAGATCTTGAGCTGGGCTCTCCAAAAAAAATTTTGACTAAAAATCAGAACAGTTTAAAAAACAACATTTGGCCTCCGTTTTGTTTGCCTTCTAATTTTGGAACTTGTAGTGCTCGTGGTTTCAGATTTTGCCTGGAAATATGAGAGCTGGAAGTTTACATTTTGAAGAAATGAAAGCTGGCATTTTTGTCATCACATGACTCCAAGAGCTGGGGCTTGAGGGAAAAACATAAAACATTGTCAGGCTTTCTACAAAATTGTGAAATTAGCAGCATCAGTTTTATCACAATTCAGGCTGCAAGGTTGACCTATTTTATCAACAGTGCCCTACTGAATATGAATTGCTTTATGAATTTTAACAACCATATTTCATTTTAAATATAGTTCAATTCAAGTGACATTCGTCACTGAGCCTCAAAGCAAACTATTCAATCGTCAACCTGGGCTAGACTTTTTCTCTGAGCAAGTGGAAAATGTAAACTGCACCACCCCACAAAACTTTGTATCTCAGAGGCACCCCTCAAGGCACACCACAACGCATGCTCATTGCCTGTCCTGGGGACTCGCTCAGCATCATGAAAAAGAGGTATCTAGCCTTCAAGTTTCTTTCACTCTCTACCCACCTGATGGGACAGCTACAGACCCCCAGACCTCACCATGTTCTAGCGCAAGGACGCCAGGAAGTGGATTGTGGCCGCACAAAAGCAGATGGGGAAGTGACAGTGAGAGTTCCCCTGAGGCCTTGAAGGACAAAACCAGATTTAATCCAGAAACTTGCTGGGCCATACTTGGTGTCTGCATGTTCTTTCCTCAGCCTGTTCTACAGCCGCAGATCGCCATGGAGCTGTTCTGAAACACAACCTGAGATCTTTGGGGCTGTTGATGCACAAGAGTTAACAGGACAGAACACGCATTCCAGTTTCATTTCTGGTAAAACAGCAAGACTGAGGTGTGCAGGGGAGAAGACTGCGAATACTCAGCAGGCAGAAACTGTTAAAGCTAAAACCTTTTCCATACACGTACATATGAAGATTAAATAGAACAGAAAGCAGTGTGCATGGGAGGATGCATTCCAAAGTGGTGTAAAATAAGATGGGGGAAGGTTTAGTTAATCACTCAGAGACTCAAACCTCTCTTCACAAATTAGGTCTAGAACATCCTGAAAAGCAGAAAAAAAAAATATTATATCCATTTGCCAAAACACAAAATCCTGTACAGATGATATATTAGCATTTTGAGGTCATACGGATTCTTAAGTTTAATCTAATCTGCAACTTTTCTCCAGTTTAGCGTTATCTCTTTAAAGATGGGGGAAGGTTTAGTTACTCACTCAGAGAAACTCAAACCTCTTCACAAATTAGGTCTAGAACATCCTGAAAAGCAGAAAAAAAAAATATTATATCCATTTGCCAAAACACAAAATCCTGTACAGATGATATATTAGCATTTTGAGGTCATACGGATTCTTAAGTTTAATCTAATCTGCAACTTTTCTCCAGTTTAGCGTTATCTCTTTACTTAACTCTCTATATGAAGATAAGCTGTCCGTCTTCTGCGTTAGTGAAGCTTCCTTCTAGTTAATTCAGAAGAGGTGGACTTGAAAAAGACATAATGTCAATTAGAGACTCACGTGCCAGTACATTTTTTTAAGCTCAGGTAGCTAACGCATCGTTCTTAAACTAGCCACTTCTGCGATGCTGAATTGAGCTGCAGTTACACTCAGCATTTGCAGTCCTCTAAGGAGGAGAGACACGTTGCAGTCTCTCCCTGCTTATGTATTGTGTGTGTATCGGTGATTGTATGCTGGGGTACGGAGAGAGGGAACTGTTTCCAAGTTAGCGCACTTAGAGAAAGGAGTCATAAATCATGGGGTCAGTCAGGTTGTGCTTTTTTTTAACCTTAGGGTATTATGTTTTCAATACAATATTTCAATAGCTTTTTTCTGTGTAATAATTTATCTGGAGTTATGGCAACTCTTACAAGCTTAGAAAAAATTGGCTCAAGTAAAACGAATCCTTTGTCATAAATAGGTTGTGTTCATAACTGCAGCCTAATCATTCAATTGCACGTAAGTCAAATAGTTATCCAGACTTTGTAGGAATATTTCCCTGTCAATAAATCTCATGCTCTTTAAAAACTCTGGGCCAATGTGACAGAAGCCTGTTAGATTAATTAGGGCAAGGTCAGAAAAGCTGAACTCACAGCTACATTCATGTCACAGTTTTGTTCCACCTACCATAACCTGATCGTAAACTCACAGACCGTTTTAAACATGGGCATGTTAGGGTGACTTCATTGTCTCCATTTATATACAAAGGCAGATTTCTTCAGGAATTGTTTCTTCTCTCTGACAACAGTCAACTAAGCATGCAACTGAGAAGAAATGTTTTGCTTTGTATTCACTGTCAATAAGGGGTTTTTTTTTATTTTTAAATGTTTTTCCCTATCGGTGACTTCACAGCAATCAGGCTCCAACCAGGGTTCATGAGACTACACAACCATACAGACCGCAGAACTGTCAAGAGGCAGGCAGCATAATCAAAATTTCACTACAAATAGGTCATCTCTGTGGGAATGAGAGGACAGTATTGTCTCTCTGCCTGTTCAATTCTTGACCTTTATCATGTGACCATCCAAAAGGAGGGTGCCCCAAATCTGATGGGTTTTGTGTGAAGTAGACCCCGGAGGTGAAATTCTGACCTTGGCAGGGTCAATATTTCATCCAAAATCCCTTGAGACAGGCCTCCAAATCATTTATTCGGCTTGCAGCTTGTATCAGATGGTAGCTAGCTGACTTTCATTTACTACTGACTTAGGTCAAACTTGGACCAGGGATCAAGAGATGAAAGGCTTTATATCTCATTATCAATAATCAGTGTTCTCCACTACCCTAAAAACGACATACTTCATTCTTATCTACAAGGCCTTAAAACTTAAAAGGGTTGGGGTCAAATTATGTTACTTCAATTTATTTTTATTCACTGCTTATAAAACAACTTCCTCTATCACTGCCATAGCTAAATGCTAAAAATGTAAATGCTTTCCTTGCTATTGTAGAGGTTCTACTATTGTTTTTCTTTTTAAGTCTTATTAAAGATACAGCAATGAAGAAAAATCCCTCCCACACACAAATTTAAAGAAGAAAAAAAATACAGAGGTCAAGGCCAAGCCAGGCCTTACCAATCTCAAAACTATTTTCAGCAAAGCACATCTTGTGTACAAGTTGCCTTATAACAGAGCAGTGGACCTTCCCCAGAAGTTTTTCATAGTTACACGAGTCCTGATACTGACAGAATATCCTCTGAAATGATAGAGCCAGTTTTCCTTCTCGTGAGAAGCCATACAACTCCTCTGATTTTTCTGGAATTAAATTTTCTTAGACCAGTTACGGATATGGCCCATAATTTCAGGGAACTAATTCTGAAATACTGAGATGCTGTGGAAGGAAAATCCTGTTGTTACTGAACAAACAGAACATAGCATCCACTTCCACAACGACTTGCAATGCTCTACACATAACTGCATACTTAAACAGAGATTTTAGCATGACTCTAGATATCCGTAAAATGTCAACCCCCTCCTTTGTTATTCTGTGAAAACTTTCGTGGGCAAACTGATTTGCATTATTCCCAAAACAGCGGCATGCATATATACACATGGAAGAAAAATAACAAAATAGAGTCAATGGCATGAAAAGAAACTTCTGAATACTTTAAGGAAAAAAGAGGTTAAATAAAGTTTACTGGTTATGCTGGGTTAACGACTTTTTTCTACTACTAGGAATAAACCTGTAGATACCTAGGACCTACACAGTTGCTCTCCTGAATCTAACCAACCTTTTGACCAGTTTCTCATTCAGACAATATTTCACCCAAAGTGTTGAAAATTTCTGGACTTTCAACACCTGGGGCAGAGGGAAGGAGGGACACTTGATTACCGATCACTGAAGAGAACTGCTTCTGCAAAACCTCAAAAACAGAGTTGTAGGGGATCCATTGCAATCCAACTCTTTCTGGCAACATTTTTGCCACTCCTGATCTACGGCTGAAAGAGGACTTGGTCCTGCAAACCCCTGCTCACATGACCAGCTCCTCTCACATCTGCTTCCTGATCCTATAGGAGCAGTGTTAATCATACAAAGTCTTCCAGAAACTGACCTTTTTTGCTTAAAGACAGGTAACACCCTCACGTGTTCCCATACATAAGATGTAAGCCATCTGCAGAGATTCTTAAAGAAACGATGACAATAATGACCGAGGGAAAGCATGTGGAAACAGAAAGGAGAAAAGAGAGATAACAGGGGCATGGGTGGAGACACGGTCTCTGACCTGGATCTGTTGCTGAAGAAGGTTAATTTTGTGTTGCTGCTGCAGGAGCTGCTGCTGTTGTCTTGCAATCTGTGGAGAAATTGCACAGAAGAAACGTGAGATATGTATCATCGTTCCTGGAGTCGGTACATAAGAAACTTCCGCCCTGCTTGGTTCTTTAAACTGCTTTATTAAGCTAAGAAACCTTCAAGTGTGGGTGGCGGCAGCCTAGACTGCTGCTGAAGCAAGGGGCTCATGTTCAGGAGCAATTCATAGCTAATACTAGTGTGAAAGGAAATCTTATGGAAAATGTGCTGGGTATTAAGAGAAGGACTGATGCAAAAATCTCTCCTCTCTCATTATCTGAAACGGCACTGCTAAAATCCCCCAAAAGTGAGCACTCATTTGCTCCAACTTGCTGGAGGAAGAACAATACTGGCGGAGAAGCTGGAAAATAGTAGGAGAAGGCAGGAAAGGCAAAAAAGTAGGATGGACAGTAAGATTCTTTTTATATTTGGCGCCACCTATTCAAAAATTCCAAAAAAAGGAAATCTGACACCCGGGAGGAAGGTATTAGTGTGCGTATTTCCTTGATGCAGAAACAGACACAAAGAGACTGGAACCCAGTTTGGTTAAATCACTGACTCTTCAACATGTGTATCAGCTAAAAGGAACTAAGGGGGCAGTGCAAGGCTACACAGGTCAACACTGAAACTGATTTACAGAAGTTGACGGAGTAGTTATAAGTCTCCTCTCAAAGTCATGTGTGTTTTCCATAAGGACTTCCATCCTCCCTCTCCATTGACTAAATGATTGGGAACCTTACTGTAGACACAATTTACACACAGTGAAGGAAAAAGCAGACAGTAACAGAACCAAATTAGAGTTCTCAGAGGACTGATGGAGATAAATCATCACGTAACTCAAACTTAAAAAGCAAACTTGAAAAACTTTCATTTGAGTCATCACAAAAGCTCTGCTCTCATGAATAGCTAGCACAGCAGTACAAACATTAGAAGGAGTATTGCTCTTCCCCTGTGGTATGCGTACACATCTCAGGGTCAGATGGGAACTTACACATACTTACTGGGAGGAATTTTGTGCATTCTTCCCCTCAGGTATTTTCTTTCATTTCTATTGTTAAACTATTAGCATAAGAAACACTCACTCATAGTTAACTCCACATCTAAAAGATTAAATGTTTTCTTTCTAGGGCCTCTCTTTAAGCAACCGAAATAATTTTTAGCAATACATTTTTTTGAAAGTTTGGTTATTTTAATTTCTATATAACAGAATTATACACAATTTCTTAAATTAAAAGAAATCCTTTTTATCCTTATAATAATCCTGCAGCATTTCTTACTGCCTTTTTCCATTCTCTCCATTTTCTTTTTCACTTTCAGATTGTTCAGCCATCCTGTAGCAGTAGTGACTTTAAAAGGTAGGGCAAAGGAAATACCTCCTGCAGGATGTCTCCTCGTGGAAGAATCTTGCCAATTCCACCTTCACACCTTCATCTACCTTCTCCATGTAAACAACAGTGTGATACAAATTCTCTACTTTAATAGGTAAGTCACTTCTGTTCTCCCTGTGTGGGATTTCAGGTGTGAGGCCAAAATACAGAGTATATAAGATAAGGTTTTTAAATAATCAAAAATAAGGAAAACCAAGGCTAAAATGTCTGAAGATGTCCGCAGTGGTTTACAATCTTAAGACTTGCTTGGTACAATACAAACATTGAAGTATGACACCTGTGACAGATTTCAAAGAATTTTGTGAGTTTCATAAAATTCACATAGCTGCAATTCTATGATATAAACTCAAATTTCATTACAAGCTGAAATAGATGGTCAGGCAGACCAAAGCGCTTTCACATAAGAGGTATCAGGATGGACTCCTGACAAAATTTTGAACCAGATGTCTAAGTATTCCCTGCTCATGTTCAGGTACAAAAATGGACATTCATTTCTGTTAAAACTTGCACAGTGCAAGTATGTTAGAAAAGTTGTGTTCTTGCATAAAATATCATGTGTCCATGTGTGCACGTTGGAACTGTTCATATGTGAAAACATGTTTGCATTTTCAGTGGAGGGCATATTTGCAAGAGCTGAAAATCAAGCCTCTCAAGCGTAGAAGAAAAAAAGTCACACTTGTTCAATGACTTCATATTCTTCTCCCCCACTTTTTTGCACAGTTGGCAAAACCAAGCCTTTCATTTGTCATATTACAATCCAAATGCCACATTTTGTTCCTTTTATACCCATTCAGCATCACTCAATTCAAGCAGCATTGGAAGATTATTCAGGAGGGCTGAATTTGTACACTTATTTACACTTATTTTTAGAAAAAACACTATTGGAAGAGAATACCTCCAAACTGGAAAGTGTATCTTTAAAAGACAAAGAGCACCATTTTATATATTGCAAATTAAAGCATTCTTCCAACACGTTTTTGTTTAAACTTCTTCACCTAAGGAAACAAATGGAAAAAAAATTCTGGGTGGAAAGCAAACTTAAGAAGTATCAACCCTAAAAGATAAGCTACTGGAAAATCCTCCTAGAAAATTATTTAAACTGAAAGCCACTATAATAATCACTCACCTGTTCTTGTTGCTGCTTAGCCAGCTCCATTTGTTGGCGTTGTTTCTCGATCTGTGATGCAGCCAGTTTCTTCTGTTCATCATGAGCTGCTAGCAGCTGTTCTCGCAAACTGGTCAGCTGATTGATCATACCCATGAGCTGCCTTTCTTTCTCAGCAAGGCTTTCTGGAGTCCCTGGGCATCATATGGTGAAAAAAAAAAAAGGTAAAGAGAAGAGAGGAAATTTAGAGCTAGCCAGGTTTTTATTTTGCAGCTTCACTGTAAGCAAAGTTTTAGTAGAACCAAAGAGCAGCAGCAAATTGCAACATACTGCACATTAAGACCTGTCCCTCTACAGCAAAATGAGCCATGGAGGATAATTCTGTACACAGGCTTTGATCTGGTGTCCCCCTTCAATGTTTCCTTGCCCTTTCATCTATTTTTCATTGCCTTTTTATCAGATTAATAAGGGGAAAAACACTGCCTGTTTTGAAAGAGTTTCAAATTTTAAACATTGTTTACATTTTGTGGGGATCAAAATCAACACTTCCAGTTTTGAAAGACAATTACATTTTTGTCAGAAACTTAGGACAAAGACACATCAATGCTTTGACACTTACAGAAACTGTAAGGTGTGTCTTAAGATGCCTCTATAATCAAGGGGAAGCAGAGAAGTCTCCTGGGTGCTGGATACCTCTCTAGCTCCCCACGCCCAGCCTTCTCACTGTTACTAGCACAGCACACAACAGCTGTCAGGACGCTACCTGTTGTATCACCTACAGCTGCCCTGATTAGGATGAAATTATATAGTATTTAAATTGTCAATAACTACTATCGCTGTTGCTGCTACTGATGAGTATTTTTAAAGGAAAAAGTCTTGCATAAACATATCGGAAAAACTAAGTTAAATGCAACTCACCGTCTCTCTCATTTGTACTGTCATTAGATGTTTTTTATAGGACAGTTCAGCAGACGCAGACAGAGGAACTGACTACCTCGCCCTCATAATCATTCTGTAAAAATTCTCCTTCTACCCAGAAGGACAGTGGTTATAAGGGAAGGGAAGAAAAAAATCCAGGAAAAATCAAAAGCTATGAATCATACACTAAAACAAAAAATGGCACTATTAGTATATCCGGTATCATTTGACTTTGAATTTAAAAGACCAGAAAATATGTGTAGCAGCTAATCCACAGATATCTGCAATACCACCACACCCTCTCACATGAGTCAGATCCTATGAAACCCTTTCTCAAAAAAGCTTTAGGAAAGGACTAAGGCTATCAGCGTCTCTGCCTCCTCTGAAAATAGCCTGCTTTTGGGACAACCCTGCCACACAAACCTTTCTCAAACACAGGAAGCGTTCTTCTGCCAATGTCACCAGTGCTCTCCAAGTGAAAAAAAAAAGAAGAAAAATTGGCGACTATACTAAACATGTTCCTAGCCAACTATCAGTCAGACATGGAAAAGAGCTACTGGTAATAGCTCATTTAGTCTACCCCCCTGACAGTGCAGGAATGTTCCCTACAATATATTTACTACAGCTTTCTAGATTGGATTGAAATGTCTGAAATGGTGAATCATCTACTGCTTTCTTTGGAAGATTGTACCACAGCCTCAGAGGTGTCACTGTTAGGGCTCTTTGCTCAATAGTTAGTTTAGTTTACATTCACTTAATTTCAACCTTGCACTCCCAAGCAGCATCCCATTTGCTACGTCAGCCAAGTCTAAGCCCTTAAATGCATTTGTAGACAGCCATATACAAGTGGGAAAACACAAAGAATCAACATTTTCATATAAAGGAAATTGTAACTTGATTAACTTTTTATGAAGAAGCTAGAGATTTATGTGAAAATATTCTCATCGTATAACAAAGAACTACAGCAGAATATTCTCAGATATAGTCTCCAAAAAACCTGTGGTACAAGCTGGAAACTAGAGAAACACACTGAAACAGAAACCATAGGACTTTAAACCTGTTCTGTTAAAAGCTGTGAGAAAGAATGGAAGCCAACGCTAAAATACTAACACTGCTGAAGAAAACACTTTTAACTTAGGGTTTTTATTTCAAACATTGGAGACGGAGAACTGCTACAAGTAGTGCATTTGCCACCTGGCCATACAATTAATCAGAAATTTCTATTGCCCCTCTTCCATCCTTCATTTCTTTTTCCCTAGGAAAAAAGGTGCAGTGTTTCCAAGTGGCATAGAAGAATTATTCTAGAAGGCAGCCCCTTCCTTGTCCTGTCCGCAGCCAGCATGTCGGTTTACTGTAATGCTCATCTAATGAAGACTATCTGTATACTGATACTGGCAGTGTAACACACTGGGCACACTGAAACATCTGAAAACCAAATATTTTATTTATTTATTTATCCAGCAGATATTTTATTCCAAACTTTTACTGAGGGTGGGTGTGCACAAGAGAGAGAGGGAGAAGGACCTAGAGAGAGAAAGATTGGCTTAGTCCTAAAGTTAGGGCAAGGAAAAAGAAATCACTGTCAAATAAACTGTTCGACAAATACACTGACACACATCAAAGATCTTCAGCCAGTACTGGTTCATCAGTGTATTTTGAGCTCCTACAGTAGCTTTCAGTTGGGAATCAAAAAGCACTTTGTAAAGTTAAATTAATCCCCACCACACCTTTGAAAGGTGGAAAACTGTTTCCATATGTGTAAACTGACAGACAGAGGGATCACAGAGCTAGTTACCGACAGCAGCAGAAAAAGAAATGCTGATATCCAGCCCTGTGCTGCAAAGCTCAGGCTGTGCTTCCCGAGAGAGAGCAGAACACGCCACGTGCCACTGCCCTGACTGCGACACGAAACAACTGCACAATTGCGGGGCCATCCACCTACTGCAGTTTCTTCTTTAATCTGATTTACCTAGAGAGGAGCAAAAAACTTCCTCCCCAGGAAAACAACAGCTTTATTTGAATTGCAGGAATGAGAGGAAAGCCTGGATGAACTAAGAGCAAGCGGTCAGAGCAATGAAATGCCGGTGCGGACGCCGGAGTTGCAGGCACACTGTGGCCGTGCAGCTGGGGACAAATCCACCAAACTCGGTCTCTTCACTGTTACTCAGGTTTTAAAAAAACTTTGAGATGCCCGAAGTGGGTGCTTTATGTACTAACTCAGTAAGTACAATGCATAATTCCTTTGGCTTATAAAACTGGAGTGGAAGTAGCCTGACAAAAGGCAGCCTTCTTGCATTATATTTCTTGAGCAATTTCAGTTTGCTAATAAACCGAAAGGGAGAATTCATCACTGTCAACGTTAAAAAAAAAAAAATCATTTGTTGGAGAATACTTTCTGGAAAACATGGCTTAGTAGGTACTTTATTTTCACGTGATTAGCCCGTCCTTCCAATAACTTCAATAATACTTAATTATAATTTCAATTCTTTAAGGTATCATTCCTTGCAAAATAAGTACTCGGATAGCCATACTCTCAAGTGACCTGCACAAAACCAGAGGCAAGAGAGATCAGATGTGTGGGTCTACTGGGAGATGGTGAGTTTTGGGGTAGATTTCCCTTGCCATACCCACACATCTGTATAAGCCCCACTGACGATGAATCACAGATAGTTTTGAGGTTTCTTGCAGACAACTGGTGGCTTATAAAAATGTGAAAATTAAAAAGAAGAAAAGTACTTGAATCAGACTGTCTTGATCATAATGTGAAGTGTTTGCATTTAGTTTAAGTTTGGTATTTTTTATGTTACCCTTATTACCTAGCACACCTTTTCTGTAATTTCTTTTGTGGAAACAGCCAATGAAACTGCCATTTCACAGTTGCCATTCATAAATTACTTAGTTTGCATCACAAATGAAGGCCAAACGATACTTGACGTTATTATTTAATGGTGAGCTGAGGGCAACAGCTTGGTCACTAGGTAAGTACACTCAGTGATAGGAATTTTTTCCGGTGTATTAAAACACACTACAGAGTTAGAGCACCAGTTGCCATTTTTGTATCCCTTTCTAGATGCTGTAGATTGTGGGTAGGCAAGGATGGTGGACTTCTGTCCTATCGTCACTATTTTCTCTCTGTTAACCCGCATGAGATCTAAACCTTTATCATCGTGTGAAGTGTCTTGGCAGCTAAGGGATTTCCATTTTAAGAATTCTGTAGCTTACAGGGCAAAACGTATTTTTGTCAGTATTTTAAGTAAGTACAGCACCAACCACATAAAGACAGTTGCTTAAATTATGCTACTCGGGAATTAATGAACCATCCCCGTGGCTGCTAACACTGCTAGGACTTGGGAGGCGGTGCAAACCTCAGTGAGGATAAGTCACCAGCCCCAGCAGCTACCTTCAGCCGCTTCGTTATTAAACTTACTTAGAGCTGCTCCAGGTAGTATAGAGTTGGGAATGGTTCTGGAGCTGGCCTGTGCTCTACACACAGTATGCGTACGGTTGCAGTGCTTTCACTCTAGCCATGCAGCGTGGCTGGGAGAGAAAACAAGTGCCCATTATTGCAGTGTACAACTTGACAGAAAGCTAGACCTACTTCACACAGGTATTGAGTGAGGAGTAAAAGGAGAGTGGCTTACATCAATGACTGCCTCAAAAATTACTCTTAATTACCGTCAGATCCACAACAAATAGATACTGCACATTTTATGTTTAACAAAGCTTTTAACCACCAGACCACCTGCCTTTCAGGAGATTGCTGTAGGTGCTCATACTGTTCTCTCTGTACTCTATTACTGCAATGGCAAAATGTGGATTTTTCACAACTTATCAAAACAACTCAGGCAAGAGAGCAGTATACGCTACGGGTTGATACAGTGAATGGCCCAAGAAGAGATGCTTTCCAGATGCGTCAGCTTATTCTCTATCAGCACAAAAAGAGATTCGGAAAGAAAAAAAAAACATGTTTGTGGATGCAACACCCACAGCAGATGGCAATAAAAGACGACTCAAATTAGTGGCATTCTGTATCGCCAAACCTAAACTTCATCTCAGATCAACACTATCCATAATAGTGTTTAAGTAGTAAAAGAAATTTACTCAAATGTGAAATAAACTATTACACATTCTTAGTTCTGATTCACAGTCTCAGACTGGCAGTGACAGTAACATTTTAATAAACATTAGAATGAAGACACCAATATGACCAAATGACACACTTAAAGTGAGAAAATGAACAGGAGAAACCTTGGCATATCCACCCAAAACAGAACCA